ATTCCAGTGAAATATATTTATGTTTGTGGTTGTAATGTGACAAAATATGGAAAAGTTCAAGGGGTATGAATACTTTTGCAAACCACTGTAGTGTGGCCAATTGCATTTCAAGAAAGAAAAAACTGCAACAGCTGATTACAAAGCTATATTGAACCAAAAGAAACAAGTAACTTAAAGCTTCCTAGAAATGTAGTGGAGTAAAAAGTACAATATTTGCCTTTGCAATGTAGTGGAGTGAAAGTCATAAGTACCCCAAAAATAATTACTCAAGTAAACATACTCAAAAAATGTACTTAATTACAGTACTCAAGTAAATTTACTGTCCACTGCTAATGTGGGGCACTTTATGCAGTTTAAGATAATTTGTAATGGTACAGATTATTTTATGCTGGGTTTAGATCAAATAAAAGCTTTTGATTATGTGTCTCGTGAATACTTAAGGGGTGTTTTAAAGAAGTATATTTTTTCCAAATGAAGATAAAAAGCAAGGATACCAAGTAGCACCTAGCAAGATGGCGCCTGGTCAGCGTACACTTCACTGTGTGGTTGGCCACTCCTTCCACTACCCTTTTTTCCCTCCTTTCAATAACTTTTTCTGATAAAGTTGGACTCTCATTTCATTTTAGTTTTTTTTTTTTTTTAACATGTGAGAATGAAGCTCTGGCGCACACATTTTATTATCTCCACATGCTGAGAAATCAAACTCACATGCTGGCTCACCATCATCACATGATTATCGGGGGGGGGGGGGCAGCATCAGCATCCCGTGGAGGCTGCTTGGAGGGTGGGGTGCAGGCTCTGGTATTTCCTCTCCGGCGTCCAATCGCGGCGAGTTGTATACTTCTAAACCGAGAAATCAACGGACTTMAGCGGGATGGGTGGGACCTCGAAGCCGGGGAGGAGGAAGGAAGCGCGGCAGGCAGGGCGGAGACCCAAGCACATCCTGTTTCACACACATTGGAAACGTGGCCGGTAGTTTCAGAGAGGGAGGGAGGAGGGAAAAGAGTCGGTKTAATGTGCCGCCTGTTTCGGGTTTCAAAGACATTTTGTAGTCAGCGAGACAAGTTATCTTAGCCTTTTAGCTAGCCATCTTTTTTAGCCACTTCCGCGTTGGAGGCTCGCCTTAAAAAGTGACTTTAAAGTTTAATTTTGATACGAGACCGAGAAGGTTTTAGACTTTTGGCCGTGACTTGCATCATGACAAGCGAACCGAGCAGTTCGGACAAGACCCCGTCTTTCGAAATGTCCTGGGGCAGCTCCACCAGCAGCGGCTACTGCAGYGACGAGGACGCGGACCCGGAGTTCGAGCAGTACTTCACCGCCCGGACGTCCTTTTTCCCTAAAGGCCGAAATGACAACGTCAAGAACAAAACCGTGAAGAAGGTGAGAAGTACATAATGCACCATATTAAAAGCAGGCCTTATTAAAATGTTAAGTTTACAGGAAAGGGGAAGTGAGACCACGAAAGAGGGCGTGAAACTAAGTCTCGCGAGATTTGGGTTTTCTATTAAAAGGTTTGTGTTACAAGTTTTAATGTTTTATCTGAACTTTTGCACAAATGGATGATAAACTGTGCAGCCTTGTTTGTGGAAAATGTCTAGAATGCGGTGTTTAGCTCAAGGGCATCAAGCCTTTGTAGTTGCCAAACAAGTTCTCTGTTTCATGGGTGGAGTTCTGCTTCCTCTTTATTTTTAACAAAAACAAAACTCAAATCAAGCTGTTTAACTTTATTTTATCTGCAACAAGTTTGCTAAGGGTCACACACACGCATGCATAGGGGTTTTCCATCAGAGCAGTCTGTTTTGTTATTACCAAATCATGTCCACAGAGAGGCTGAGATCAACTGAAGTGACTTTTTTTTTGTGTGACGCACAATTGTTTCTCAAGTTTCCAGCCTCACACCCACCATTCATGGACCTGTCTCGCAGGTTTTTTTCTTAATCAATTTCTCCATCACGAATGACTCATGGAGTGTTTTGTTTTTATTCATTTTCTTATCTTTTTAGTCACACACTTACCCACGCTGCGGTGTCTGATTTCTTTCTTAAGAAACTTGTATTTTACTGGACTAAACCATCTCCTCTTTATTTTTCATTGATGATGCATACCTCGCACTTTTTTAATGACACTTATTTTGCAGGCGTGTAGAGGTGCAGTTACTTCTCCCACTGCCTCAAATGTGACAGTTCATTTCTGCTCATTCATATTGATTCATTAACAGCAGCATGTTAGAAAGTCGATTAACCCGAGGATCACAGCTATTGATCATCGTTTGAATCCAATTTATAGGCAATCACATTCTGTCGACTCTTGCAGGGTTTCAAGTCTTAGCTGGTCTATAC